TCCTCGTTCTCTTCCTCATGCGTCTCATGTGTTCCTCTCCTTAATCCTCATGTGAGGATTAAGGTCGTCCTCATTTCATTCATATTCTCTGGCATTCCCCTGGATGAGGTGCAATGTCAGGCCCTGCAGGTCATGTAAAAATGCCCCTCCGTCCTGGGAGCGAGCAAGGTCGAGAGCAGCAGCCTGTTAGACTGTGAGGTACAGGTGGTACTACTGGGTGCCTGTCCCTCACCTACAGCTGATCATGGGCCAGCCAGAGCCCTCTGGGTTGACATCAACTAGTCCTGCTTTTTTCAGGTTTGGGTGTGGGAAGCATTAGTGCAGCTGGCAGCTCTTCTCCTTCCTGCCTCCCTGGGAAGGGGTGTGTTTTCTCAGCAAGTTCTCATCTGGTTCCAGGCTAGGCTGAGTGGCCTTGAAGGTATACAAGAGCTGGTGTGACCGAGTGGGAAGGGCCGGGGGAGTGCAGAAGAGCTTGTCCTGAGAACACACAGACCTGGCTTGCTAGGAACAGGCAGCTATTGCTCTCTGCGCACCTGCAGAATTGATGCATGTCCTCTTTGCTTAAAGGTGGGCCTTAGCACATCTTAGTGCCCTTTAACCCACTCTATCCAGGCTGGAGAAAAGATAGATCCTGGCTCAGCGAGACTGGGCTCCAGGCTCAAGTCTAGAAACTTTATCTTTAGATGATTGGTTAATGCTGGCTAGTCCTTTTATTTTTCTGTCCCCAAATTCCTCTACACTCGTATTCAGGATTTGCTGAATCACTGGACCTGGCTCTCTTCCAAGAAATACCACATGTTTTTTTCTTTTCAGGATAGGCAAGCCCAGGAGCCTCTGTGTGAAACAGGAGGATGTCTGTCCAGACAGGGACACAGCGCCTCTGTGGGAGGCAGGAGGAGAGTGTACAGAGTGGAGTGACAGCCACAGAGCCAGGCTGACCCTGCTCTTCTTAGCCATGGGAGCATGAGGGAATGTCTTAATGCCTGTGTGCCTCAGCTTCCCTTCTGAGAAGTGGTCATGGTGAACTGATTTTCCAGGGTAGTTGGGTGGTTTTCTACTTTTAAACTCTCTTGGCCGTGTTGGAACTGGGTATACAACCCTGAACTCTTGAATTTCTGGTTCTCCCTCACAGGGTCTGAAGATCTCCACCTATATGAAGACCAACTGCTTTCTTCCAAGTCCTTTGTATTTAAAATAGGCCATATAAGGTAACAAGTAGTACAGTAATACTGGTGCTGCTAGGGGAGAACTTTCAGTATCCCCATGGCTCTGGTCATTGATTGGGGCACAGCTGGCTTCTACTGTCCCCTCTGCCTCAGTTTCCATTCCCTTATTTCCTGCTCATTGTCCCCTACTTTCCACCCAACAATTTTCTACTGTGGAGCCTGTGTAACGTCCAACTCCCCACTCCTTCCACGAAGTCCTCTCCGTCCCTTCCTTGTTGCTGTCTTACTTCTAACCAGTCAGAATTGATGATACTTTGAAAGGTTCAATTGATGCCATACTCTTCACTGTGGCGTGCTATGCAAGTTCAGTGTCCAAAGTGGGGTGTTCCACCCATGTCTGACCTCCAGTAAAGCACACTTCTGTGTCTTTTTTTACATTCAATGACTCTCAGGACTGGTTGCGTTAACTTGGTTGGGTGATCTTTGTTCTGTCATTCACAGGAAGGGTTGGGTGATGGAAATGTGGGGGACTCTCGGCCAGGAAGGGTATAAGATCATGCAGAGTCCTTGATGTCCCCTGGTATGTATGCTCACCCTGAGATTCCCACAGGAGGGCTCCTTCTGTGACAGGGCTCCTCATTCAGAAATGTGCAGTGCCTCCTTGGTCACATACAGTGTATGCCATGCTTCAGAGATGCTGATCTGATGGGAAGAGGCTGGATAGGCCCCAAGCTGAATATCTATGCTCACCCAGAAGCCAGCTCTGAGCTGAACATCCCTCCTGTCTTCTCAGGATGTTTCCTACAAATATTCCTCACTGTTAATGGTGTTGTGGTCATTTTCCCCCAACTCACTCAGTTCAGTGAAGGAGGATCCGGGCCTGTTGGACTTTTCATCTTTGACATGTATGGCAGTGCCTGGTATACTGTCACTCTTCAGGACATTGGAAATTGTAAAGCCTTCCTCTGAGAGGTGCTTCAGGTAGTGTTGGGACTTGGAACTCTGGAAATAGCTATTCTTCCCCAGAAGATTAAAATGAGGTACAGAAGATTTTCCATGTACAGGTGTTAAAGTCTGAGGCAAAGCTTCCCTCCCATATGCATTTAACAAACTGCAGCTGCCCTTGAGTCAACAGCAATGGGCTGGCCTAGTTTGCAAAGTGTCTTGTTTGTGTTACAAACAGCATATGGGATTAAATTGATAGCATTTCTTTTTGGTTGTTTGTGTATGCGCACTCTGAGCTAGGTCAATAGGGGTCAAAAGGGACAAAAACCTCTGATAAGGATCAGCTTTTACTTCCCCATTTCATACCGGAAATACTGTTTCAATAAATGAAAGAGGAAAACATTTGTTTGAGAACACAGTTCCGAGAGAAATCTGAAGGAACAGGTATTCAGAGCAGTTTAAGTCCTCTCTCGGCTAGAATGGAGCCTAAGAGTCAGATTTTTTTTATTTGGGTATAGACAAAATGTGGCATTGCCCAGTACCACTATATTATTCTGGTTTCTTCTTCCAATTAAAATCCTAAGCATGCTTTCCCTGACACTTTCTGAAGACATCCCATACCAATACTCACCCCCCATACTACTGCATGCAGACCTCCACTGCTGATCCTGCCTGTTTTCTTTGACTCTAACTCTCTTCTCCATCTCCCTCCTCCTGGCAACTGCTGAGACTTGCTCCTTGTCTCATGTGTTTGTCTCTAAAATTTTAACAAAGTTCCTCATGAGTCTGCTTTCATTTATTTTTAAATTCAATTTAATTGTGCTATTTTGTAACTCCAACTGGCCTTAAATTTGCTATATAGCCAAGAGTGGTCTTTAATGATTCTCCTATTTCTATTTCCCAAGATCTTGGATTACAGGAGTGTGTAATCATGCCCTGCCTGATTCTATTATGTGGAATGTCTCTGAACATGTATGTATACATGTTTATGTGTGTGCAGATGTATGTAGACGTATGTGTATGCGTGTGCATGTTTGTATGCTTCATTATGTATGTATGAGTGTGCACACATGTGTGCATGCATTACTGTGTGCAGATGTATATAGATATTTATGCACATGTATAGGTGTTTATATGTGCTCATGTATATGCAGATATGTTTGCATATATATGTGGAGGCCAGAGATTGATATCTGGTATCTTCCACAATCATTCTGGAAGTTATTTTATTTATTTATTTATTTATTTATTTTTATTTATTTATGTTTGAGATAGAGTCTCACTAGGTAGCCCTCACTGACCTGGGACTCACTGTGTAGACTAGGCTGATCTGGATCTCACAGAGATCCACCTGCTGTACTTCCCAAGTGCTACCATTAATGGCATATCCCACTATCGCCAGCTGTAGACATTCTTTTTTGAGATAATATCTCTCATTGAACCTGGAGTTTGCTGATTCAGGAAGCCCCTGGAGCCTCCTGTCCACCTCCCCAGCACTGGGTTTTATGGGTGTGGGTCACCATGTCTAACCTTTTTGCATAACGTAGGTTCCATGGGATTGAGTTCGGTTCCTCTTCTTGCTTGGACAACAGTATACAGTCTACCATCTGAACCATCTCCACAGGTCTTTGAATGTTTTTTTTTTAATTTTTTAAAAAAATATTTATTATTTTTAATGTTTTTTTATGTGTATGCATGTATTGCCTGCATGTAGGTAAGTGCACCCTTGTTGAGCAATGTCCACAGAGGACAGAAGAGGCTGTCGGATTCCCTGGAACTGTAGTTATGGACAGTTGTTAGCTGCCATGTGGGAGCTGGGATTCGAACCCAGGTCTTCTGCAAGAACATTCAGTGTTTTTAACCACTGACCCATCTCTCCAGCCCTTGAATCTGTTTTTAAATTCATTTATCAGTGTTGGTCAGACCCTGACAAAGGGAACCTTGACTGTCTAGTAACATTGATAGATGTCTTTGAGTTTTAAACACAGGTCCCAGATCCCACAATGAAGTGAAGGCCATTTGAATATCTCATATTCAGATACACACGAATCAGGAGCCTGGGCCAGGACCAGAAACCAGGGAGCTGGACAGCTGAGAGTCTGGTGCTGAGCTACTTGGGTCCTGTACAGAGTTCCACAGGTCCCCCTCTGGGCAGCATCCTGTTGTCCTTGGAAACAGGAGAGGTGTCTGGGCCCTCCTGGCCACAGTGATGGTGTGTTCGAAGTTCTGATAGCTGACAGCTGTCTATAGTGCTGGGAACCCCTTAATTCCATATGCCCTCTGCGTCTGGTTCTGACGTTTAAGCCAATGAAGAGGGTCAAAAAAACTGATTAATTTATATGCTCACTAGCTTAATGACGAAAAGACTGAGTCCTCAAATTCCCTAAAGGAAAACATGGGAACCACTTGCTCTTCTGTTTGTCCCTGTTCTGGGTTCTTTTCCGTGTCACAGTTTATGTAACTCCAGGCTGTGGTAGACAATTAAGCCTGGTAACTGTCAGATTAATAAAGATTATTTTTCCTGTTGTATTTACCAGATTAGACTCTCAAACTGGAGACACCCCCTTTTGTACCTTTGTTGTGAGTTGAGCCTTCCTGAATGACAGATTCCCACAGTTTAGGGGCGAAAACTGAGCTCTGCAAGGGAGGGAGGGAGAATCGCCTAGTTCTTTCACATCTGCCCTGTCTGGTCAGCTTCCCTGGTACCCAGCAGGGGTCAGGTGGGTGGGGAGCAGCTAGAAGGGACTCACCAATCACTGCCTTCTCTATCTGTAGGCTCAGACTTGCCCCAGAGACTCGGTTTGGATTGGCTCTTACTCCTCCCTCTCATGGTGGATTGCCCCTTCAGGTCTCCAAGGCTGGCCCCTTTAGGGGTGGGGCAGGGAACTCTCATGAGCTGCCTGTAAGCAGACTCTGAACTCTCTGCAGTGGTATCAAAGACCAGAGTGTAGTCTGACTGAGGCCTGTCTGCTGTCTCTAAGGCAGGAATCCAAATCATGCCCATGACTCTGGGTTATTGGGATATTCGTGGGGTGAGTAAAAAGTTTGGGCTGCTAGTAGGTGGGAAAGGATCCAGGTGGGGACACATGGGCAGTTGGAGATCTGATTCCAGATAGGTCTCCTTCAATCCTTCATAGAGCTCTTTACATGTCCCTGTCAGGAGGCCTTAGTAACTCTCTCTCAAGAGCTCTCTCTCTCTCTGTCTCGCTCTGTTTCTTATTCTCTTTTTTTTTTTTTTCATTAGAAATAGGGAAGAAGGGCTACCTAGTTAAGGTCTCACTAACTGTGGGTATTGTTGGGGGCCATCACTCACAGATGGGTCACGCCATCCGCCTGCTCCTGGAATACACAGACACAAGCTATGCGGAGAAGAGATACACCGTAGGGGACGGTAATGATATCCTTCTGGTCAGACTCCTTCCTAACACCTGCCTGTGGTGATCAGCAATCTGTGCTTGGTTGCCAGTTGCTCAGCTCTGCAGACCTCTTCCAGCGAAATCCAGAGCCTATCCCTTCCAGAAACCTTCCTGAGGGTCTAGCTTGGTCTTTCAATACAGAACCCTGGGAGTGGCATGCTGGCTCTTTCTCTGTCTGTAACTGGGTGCAGTCTGTCTAGTAGATGCCTAAACATCTTGTAAGCCTTGTTCATTTAGGACCTATAGCCTTTTCCAGCACTATGCTACATTGGAACATGGCATTTAGTGGGTGAATTCCCTGCCACAAGTGGTCTTTACTGACATGGGAGGGATCTGGAAAGGAGGCTTGAATATTGTGGGGTGATTTCTTTTAACATTGTCTCTACCACAGCTCCCAACTACGATCGAAGCCAGTGGCTAAATGACAAATACAAGCTGGGCCTGGACTTTCCCAATGTAGGTGCTGGGGAATGGGGAAGTTTGGGATGTTGGAGGAATCCTCACTTCATCTTTTTGCCCAGCTGACAGGGGGTTCTGGGTTAGTGCTTCTCTCTCCTGCTCCATTCCTGGTGGTCTGCACTATGTTCCTGTGATGGGCTATGTCCCAGCTCTTGCATTCAGTGTGCAGTGTATTCATGGAGGGCTTCCCATGCCAGGCACACTGAGTGCCGACTCCTATATCTGTCCTAACCCGGGGGATGCTGAGATATCCATATCCCATCTGGTCTTCTCTGCTTATCCATCCAGCTGCCCTACTTAATTGATGGGTCCCGCAAGATCACCCAGAGCAACGCCATCCTGCGCTACATTGCCCGAAAGCACAACCTGTGTGAGTGGGGCTGGCTGCAGGATGGGGACGGTGCCCATCCCCCTGGGCTTGGCTGGGGTGGGCTGCTGAGGGTGAGTTGTGCTGTGTGTGCACAGGTGGGGAGACAGAAGAGGAGAAGATCCGTGTGGATATTTTGGAGAACCAGGTCATGGACACCCGCCTACAGATGGGCATGCTCTGCTACAGCCCTGACTTTGTGAGTGCACAGTGATTGGAGCCCACAGGGTTTGAGGCGGGAGTTAAAGTCTTATGTTCATATCCACACTGGTCCCCTTTAGTATTTGAAATTACTGATAGATTTTTAAAACTCCCCTATCCAACCAACATGTTGACTGTCCTAACCCAAAGATCTTATCAAAATTGTGTATCAGTTGCTAGCAATCTTTAGTATATTTCTGGTATCCATGGCTAGACATTATTTCTTATATAGTAAATTCCTGGTATCAGGATTCCCTCCAACTTTGGACTTGACCACTGTCATGCGCCATCTTGCCTAGCTGTTTATCATGCCATCTGCCTGCTGAAATGTACTTACTGAAAACTGAGAAAAGGTATACTAGAGTTTCAGAAATCTTCTCAATTGTTTTCCCAAAGCTGTATACCTGGCAGCAGCAAGAATCGGGACCTCTTCCCAATATGCAGTTCAGGTTCACCAGAGGACTGCTGTCTCTTTCCTTCTTTTTACCATCAAACACTGTTCAGCTCTGTACATGCTACTCAAATATCCATTCTGTTCCATCCCCTTAGAAAACACTTTTTCTCCTCTCTTGAGACTGTTAACTACTTTACTTCCCTGGTTTTATAGGACATGGGGTTCCCAAACCTGCCAAGTTCCCAGGAAGTTCTGTGTGACCCATAGTATCTGGTTTGGATGTCAGTGGTGACAGATTCAGGGACAGTGTAGCATTCCTGACTGACCTTCTATCTCTTATGAAAGATGATGTCTGCTACCAAGCAGGGGTATAATCAATAAAATGTGGATGCTTTGAATACAAGCCTACACAATAGTCCAGGCCCAGTCCTGGGAAGGAAGCACTCGTCTGCACAGCCCTGCCAGCCCAGTCTTTATCCCGGGGAGCCTGTGTCTGAGGCTGATGACAACTGTTTGCTGCTTCAGGAGAAACAGAAGCCAGAGTTCTTGCAGGGCCTTCCTGAAAAGTTGAAGCTCTTCTCTGAGTTCTTGGGGAAGCGACCATGGTTTGCAGGGAACAAGGTAAAGGGCCAGGAGTTGAGGAGGGGGAGTTATCATTTTTTAAAATTATAATTTATTTATTTATTTTTATTTACGTGTATGACTGTAATGCCTGCAAAAGGGAGGTATATCCATATTGTGCAAGGGCCACAGAGGTCAGGAGGTCAGAAGAAGGTATAGGATCCCCTGGAACTGGAGTTACAAATGGTTGTCAGCCGCCAAGTGGGTGCTGGGGATCAAACCTGGATCCTCTGCCAGAGCAGCCAGTGCTCTTAACTGCTGAGTCATCTCCTTGGCCCTGAGATTTATCATTCTTATGAGGTTACAGGATCCCACACACACTTGTCTTCCTGTAGATCACCTATGCAGATTTCCTTGTTTATGATGTCCTGGACCAGCACCGAGTATTTGAATCCAAGTGCCTGGATGCATTCCCCAACCTGAAGGACTTCATGGCCCGGTTTGAGGTGATGCCCTGATCCTCCTTCTTCTTAGATATCCTTCTCTTTTATTTTTCCTCTATGCCTTCCTATTCCTGGAGGTTAATGAATAACCAGGAATCTTTTGACTACTTGCATTCTGCCAGGACCTGTGCTCAGTGACTGAAATCCGTGGGATCAAGTTACTCATTTTAACATTCCTGCGACATGCATAGAATTATCAATCCTGTAGTTGACGCTAGACTTGAGAAGCTATGTGGGGCCCCTGTTGGAAGGTTTTTTCTTGAGCTTTTGCTGGTGGGTTTGCTGTTTGCTGCTTCCCATCCTCGTTCTCTTCCTCATGCGTCTCATGTGTTCCTCTCCTTAATCCTCATGTGAGGATTAAGGTTGTCCTCATTTCATTCATATTCTCTGGCATTCCCCTGGATGAGGTGCAATGTTAGGCCCTGCAGGTCATGTAAAAATGCCCCTCCATCCTGGGAGCGAGCAAGGTCGAGAGCAGCAGCCTGTTAGACTGTGAGGTACAGGTGGTACTACTGGGTGCCTGTCCCTCACCTACAGCTGATCATGGGCCAGCCAGAGCCCTCTGGGTTGACATCAACTAGTCCTGCTTTTTTCAGGTTTGGGTGTGGGAAGCATTAGTGCAGCTGGCAGCTCTTCTCCTTCCTGCCTCCCTGGGAAGGGGTGTGTTTTCTCAGCAAGTTCTCATCTGGTTCTGGGCCAGCCTGAGTGGCCTTGAAGGTGTGCAGGAGCTTGCCTGACTGCATGGGAAGGGCTGGGGGTGTGCAGAAGACCTTGTCCTGAGAACACACAGACCTGGCTTGCTAGGAACAGGCAGCTGTTGCTCTCTGTCCATCTGCAAAATTGATGCATGTCCTCTTTGCTTAAAGGTGGGCCTTAGCACATCTTAGTGCCCTTTAACCCACTCTATCCAGGCTGGAGAAAAGATAGATCCTGGCTCAGCGAGACTGGGCTCCAGGCTCAAGTCTAGAAATTTCAGGTTTAGATGACTGGTTACTCCTGGGCACTCCTTTCTTTGCTTTCCCCAAGTTTTTCTATACTTAAATTGAGAATTTGCTGAATCACTGGGTGGGACCTGGACTCTCTTCTAGGCAACAGCACACATGTTCTCAGCTATGTTTTCCAGGAGCCTCAGTGTAAAACAGGCACATCTGTGCACACAGGGAGACAGTACCTCCTGTGGGAGGCAGAGGGGAGTGCAAAGAGCAGAGTGACAGAGCCTGGCTGACCCTTGGTCTTCTTGGCCATGGGAGCATGAGGGAGTGTCTTAAAGTATGTGTGCCTCAGCTTCCCTTCTGATAAATGGTCATGGTGGAACTGATTTTCCAGGGTAGTTGCATGGTTTTTTACATCTGGCTTTTAAACTCTTGGATGTGTCAAGACTAGGAATGCAATCCTGAACTCTTGAATTTCTGGTTCTCCCTCACAGGGTCTGAAAAAGATATCCGCCTATATGAAGAGCAACCGCTTCCTTCCAAGTCCTTTGTATTTAAAACTGGCCACGTGGGGTAACAAGTAGTACAGTAATACTGGAGCTGGTGGGGGTGATCTTTCAGTGTCCCAGTGGCTCTGGTCACTGGGGCACAGATGGCTTCTAGTGTCCCCTCTGCCTCAGTCTTCTCCCTCCTCCTTCCTTTCTACTCCCTTATTTCCTGCTCATTGTCCCTCACTTTCCTCCCTGTAGGAGGAAGTGCGTGATAGCCTGACTGTGCATGTGCCGTAGCCCACGTCCCCTTTTGCCAACCTGTATCTTGCCTCGGAGTCTGGAGACAGATGACGCTGCAACATCAGATGCTGCGGGCCAATGAGGAGAAGACACAATATCAGAAAAAACCACCAGGGACCAATGGGACACAGGGAGGGGGTATATAGGCACACCCTGTTTCCGCAATAAACGAGTCTGCAGCTGCTCTCACTGCCTGCTTCTCACCTGACTCCCGGTGTCTGTCATGACTCCACGCCAACTCTTCCCACCCAAGGGGTGCTCAAGGGTCCCCATAACATCTAGTGCCTAACGTGGGGCTCGAGGAATCCGTGCTGGCATGGTCCGTGAGTTCCCATGGGTCCTACCTTGTTGGGTGATAGTCGCCTTTCCTTTTTGGATCGCGGTTTTTGCTTTCTTGCCGGCATTGCATTAACTGTTCCTGATTTCAGCGTACTTTCGCTTTCTTCATCTGCATCCCAGCCATCCCCTTCCCTCTGGTGCAGCGAGGCACCCCCACTGTGTTTTCGGTGAGTTGGCCCCTTTCTGTGTTCAGTGTGCCTTCGGTCCTCACGAGGGTGAGCGTGGAGACCCCTCCTCTTCCCCTTCTCCCTTGGTGTCTTTTGTGTTCCTTGTAGGTTAGGGAGGAACATTTACTTGTTTTCGGTTTCCCAGGCGCCTCCACATAAAGGCTGACCCCCTGGGAGGTGGAACCCAAGAGCGGCTCCCGACCACCGCTTCCCATCCACCGCTCCCCATCCGGAGACACTGTATGGGCATAGGGCCGTGGCCTAACAAACCAGGGAAGTCCTCCACTAAGCATAAGACCCTTGGGTCTGATACACTCTTTCCTTTACCTTCTAATGTTTGCCTCCGCCAGAGGCTCTTCCGCTGTTCTCTGGGGAGTCCTCTGTATCCTTTGCCTTTCTCCTTACCCTTTCCCTCTTTTGTCTAGGATACTTCCGACCCTTTGTTAACACTACAGAGTCTCCCTAGTTTCCAGTCGTGGGCAACCTGCCCCCCCACTGTAGGGAGCCTCAAATATGAACCCTTAGGTCCCTTTTAGTTACATGTGGGCTTAAAGTTAAATCCCATCAACTGGATGCATTTTGGAATGAGGCCACTATACTGGCACCTTGGGTCACTCCCCAGAACATGTGGGACCTGGAATCATGGATGCACGTCCTCTTCCTGGCCCGGAAGCGTGAGGTTGGCTCTGGGATTCTCCCGCCCCCTTCCTTTGTCCCAGTCCTGCTAGCCATTATTGCTAGCCTTAAATCCTCCTCTCTGGAGCAGGTGATTAAAGCCCCCAACAGACACTGTCAGGAACAAGCCAATGTCAATATTTCCATTGCCTCACCTCCCCCAGCAGCAGAGGTTACCTTTTTGTCTTCTGGCTAGGAGGGGGAGGAACAGGACTGTCCCTCAGCTCCCCCTAAACCACCACACCCTAAACCTTCTGCCTAGGCTCCTTCTCTGGAGCAGCCTGATCCCATCTCCCCGCCTCCTCAGTACCCTTGGGGGTAGCTTCGCTCCGCGTGCTGCCTGGCCCTTACCCCTCCAGAGCCCGGGACCCTGTTCCCGCTCCTGACCCGCCCATTCCCCGGATTCCTTTCCCACGGTTCCCCTCCCTTCCTGCCATGAGGCCTGTTCAGAGCCCGGCACCCCCCTGGGGTCGTCCGGCACCCCCCTGGGGTCGTCCGCTGATGCCCTTTCCGGTAAACATCGGTCCTAATGCCACCAATCAGCCTTGGATTCCCACCCCGCTGGCAGACCTCTCCCTCATTCGCAAGGCTGCCAATGAGTCTGGACCTGACTCCCCCTATTTTGAGCAGGTCCTTCATGCAACTCCAGACTCACTACAATTGGTACAATCTCCTTAAGGCTGTGCTGGATTCCTCTGTTTTTCTAAGTTGGGGTTCAGCATATGACGACCAGGCAGAAATCCAAGCATGCCTCAATTTACAATATGGTCTTAACATCGCCCTAGATATGCTTACGGGCCGCGGACACTACATAGATCCTGTGTCCCAATCCACCATTGGCCTGCAAGCGTATTACCAGCAAGTCTCTGACCTTGCCTTTAAGGCTCTTAAGGCATGCACCCCTCGTGACCTATCTGCTTAGTTTCGCATTCTGGTCCAACAGTCTGGTGAGTTTACTCAGGTCACAGACGTGGTGGAAGGGAGGGTTGAGTCTGGCCCTACCCGGGACCTTCTCATTAAGCAACTGACTTGGGAAGGCCTTAATGCGTCCACCCATAATGCCGTGGCTGCAGTCCATAATGATGACATCCACAAATGGTTACTTGCCACTAAAGATCTAGACCCTTGCACTGGCCCTATTGAGGCACTGGCTGCCTTTCTAGATGTGTTGCTGGCAGGCTGACAGTGGCTGTAGGCGCCTGCCTCCTCCTCCGATAAAACTTGCTGGGGTTGCAGCAAACCTGGCCACTTGCACTGAGACTGTCCTGGGGCTCATCCTAAGACCCGCTGTCCCAAGTGCAAAAAAGGATTTCATTGGGCCAAAGACTGCCGCTCCTAGCCACAGGGTGACTCTGTCCCTTTAAACTCCTGGTGGGGCGCCCCTCAGCCCCACCAGTCTAAGAGGGGATGCTACTAGTTCGAAAGTGTTTTGGACCCTCCCTGTTTTTAATCACTCCCCAAAGTTGACCATCTATCTTGACGGCTTGCCCACTAAAGGTCTTGTAGATGCTGGAGCAGATGTTACTACTGTTACAACGACTGAATCTCTCCGCTTTCCCCACTGGAAATTCAGACCTGGTCCCCCCATTGCTGGTGTGGGAGGCCGCCAGGAGACTAAGACAACTGTACGACCTGTCCATTGGAAGGACCTTGATGGACACCAGGGCTAATTCTCCCATATAATAGCCAATGTGTCACACACCTTGTGGGGGAGGGACATCTTGGAAGACATGGGGGTGGTCTTGACTACCGACGATAGTGCCTTTTATGATGATATCATTACCCATGACAAAATAGGCCTGTCAGGATGCCCTTCTCTGGATAGTTCACACCCCCAATTCTAAAGGCCACTGCCCTCCCAGAGAGCCCCCCTGATGGGCCCCTGGTCCCATCTCATTAACTTGGTTCTCTGACAATGACATCTGGAGCGGCCTATCATTGAACCTAAATTATCTGCCCTTAAAGAGTTGGTCCAGGAACAACTTGACCTTGGACACCTTGAACCCTTTACCGGTAGACATAATACTCCCATTTTTGTGATAAAGAAAAAGTCGGGCCACTATAGACTCCTACAAGATTTATGGGCTGTTAATGACCAGATGGAAAAAATGGGCTCAACCCAGCCCGGCCTGCCTCACCCCAGTGCCCTCCCGCCCTCTCATCACATTATCATAGATATCAAGGATTGTTTTTTTCAAATTCCCTTGACTCTTCAAGATAGATGCTGTTTTGAGTTCACAGTCTGGGAGCCCAACGTTCATGAGCCGGCCCAGAGATTCCACTGGAAAGTACTGCCACAAGGCATGAAAAATAGCCCAACTATCTGTCAGCTATATGTTGCTCGGGCCATGAGACTACTTCCAACAGACATTCTTCTTGTCCATTACATGGACGATATTCTTATGACTCGTCCTGACCCTGTCTATCTGAGGAAGACTATCAAGTCTCTCCTCTATGATTTGGCTAAATTAAATCTGAGAGTCACTACTGAAAAAATCCAATTTGCCCCTCCCTATGCATTCCTGGGTCACTCCATTGCCAAAACTATTGGTCCCTTGACCTTCCATATTAGGGTTCAACTGATGTATACACTGGCTGTATTTCAACAGCTCTGTGGTACTGTTAATTGGCTTAAGCCTTTCCTTCCTATCCCTTCAGATGACATGCGTGCTTTGTTCTCTCTCCTAGAGGGCCCCAAGAGTCCCTCTCATAGGGTCTCCCTGACACCTGAGGCCAGGGTACTCCTGGATAAAGTTAGTGACCTTCTTTCCTCTGCCTCTCTCGAGAGACATGACCCAGAGACTCCTTTGCTTGCCATAATTCTTTGGACAGCCACTGGATTTCTAGGAGTCCTCTGGCAAAAGGAGCCCCTGATGTGGGTCCATCAGGCCTTTTCGGGCCTTCATAAGTTTACCTCCAAATTTGAATAGACCTTCTGCCTAGGCTTAAAGGCTTGCAGAATCTTTAATCGGGAACCTGATGTGCTTATACTCCCCTTCTCCATACGGCACTCCCAAGCACTCTGGGCGGACTCCATTAGCTTCCAAGATATGGTGACCAGGTTCCCAGGGGTCATTGATAACCATCCACCCCAAGACAAAAGGCTTGCTGTCCTTGCCTCTCTCCCTATTGAAGTCAAACCTTACTCCTTCCCCTCCTCAACCCTTATTCCGGGAGCAGCCATGGCCTTTTCAGATGCCGATAAACACAGGTATGGTGTTCTGATTCAATGCTCTGGAAGTAATGATGTGAGTCACATTATCCCCAATCCTGGCTCTTTGCTGCTGGGGGAACTGTTAGCTCTGCTTAAAGTTCTCACTGAATGTCAAAATGAACCTGTCAGTATTTTCTCAGACAGCCTGTATGCTGTCCAGGCAGGCCGTGTCCTATCCTTCTCCATAAAACGGACCTCTGATCCCTTACTTCTGACTATGCAGATGCTACAAGACTGTCTAGAACAGACGTTTCACCCCTGGTATATCTGTCACATACGATCTCATTCTAACCTCCCTGGAATTCTATCCAAAGGCAATGGAAAAACTGATCCCATGATTATGCTTGTAAATACCAGTTTATTGGAACAGGCACGCATTCTACACCAGCAGTTCCACTTAACCCCTCAAAGTATTCATAAATTACTCCCAGATTTGCCAGTGTCCCAATGCAAACACTTAGCATGGACATGCTCCATGTGTGCTCCTTTGGCCCCTATAAGCCCCCTGAATAGGGCGGTCTATTGCCCAATGCCATCTGGCAGATGGACGTCACCCATCATCCTCCCTTTGGCAATCTGTGATATGTACATGTAATAATAGACACTTGCTCCTCTCTCACGTATGCTCTAGCCCTTACTGGAGAAAGGGCCTTCCATGTTATTAAAGCAATGAAGTCGGCCATATTGGTCATGGGAGTGCCCTGGGCAGTAAAAACAGACAGTGGTCTGGCATACACATCTCAACACCTCAATGCTTTCATGGCCTCCTGGAATATTGAACATACTCATGGCAT